AAAATTTTGCCTCGCATACCGCTCAAAAACCCGCTCACCACTGTTCGTCCGAGACGCGTCCAATGTGCGCCTTAGCCAGCCTCACATGTTCCGCCGGTGGCATTGTTTACCAGCCAGCCTCCGTGGTAGCATCCAAGCATACAATCGTAACATTTCGTATTATTACAGTGTTTTTGGTGATTTTATCTGGAAAATAAGTGACCATGGGCCCCAAGAAAGCTTCTAGTGCCAACCCTACAGCAATAAGGGTGAGAATTACTATAGAGATGAAGAAAAAGATCATTGATAAGTATGAAAGTGGAGTGCGTGTCTCCGAGCTGGCCAGGTTGTATAATAAACCCCAATCAACCATCGCTACTATTGGTGGTACAGCTGCTGCTGCTGCTGCTGCACTGTCAGCTGCTGACATGCTGCTGTGTAGCATCGTCTGCTGCTGCTGTAGCATCGTCTGCTGCTGCTGTAGCATCGTCTGCTGCTGCTGTAGCACTGTTGTTGGTGTGGCTTATTGAGAATATACCAAGAAACAATTAACCACAGAGGATTTTCCACCCAGGATAACCCAAAAAAGTCAGTGTCATCGAAGACTGTCTAACTTATTTCCATTGGGGTCCTTAATCTTATCTCCAGGATGCAACCCACACCAGTCGACTAACACCCAGGTGAACAGGGAAAAATGCCTGGAACTAGTGCTCATATTGGTGAATTTAAAGCCAGCAAAGGTTGGTTTGAGAGATTTAAGAATCGTAGTGACATACACAGTGTGATAAGGCCTGTTCTGGAAGAAAATGCCAAACAGGACCTACAGTACTCAGGAGGAAAAGGCACTCCCAGGACACAGTGTCTCATCAGTCATTGCTGCATCTTCAATAAAGGTAAGTGTCATTTATTCTTCATTTAGTAGACTAGTACATGCACAATATATACTGTGCATGTACTACTCTACTATTGTGCATGTATCCTTCTCTTTGTGTGTAGGAAAATGTATATTTCATGTGGTAAAATTTTTTTTATTCATACTTTTGGGTGTCTTGCACGGATTAATTTGATTTCCATTATTTCTTATGGGGAAAATTAATTCGCATACCGATTATTTCGCATACCAATGAGCCCTCTTGCACGGATTAAAATCGGTATGCGGGGGTCCACTGTAGTAATTGTGCATGTCTTCTTCAGTTTGTAAGTATAAAATTAATACAGTGGACCCTCGACCAACGATGGCATCGTCTAACGTTAAATCTGACTAGCGATATATTTTAACGCAAAAATTTTGCCTCGACTAGCGCTAAAAAACTCGACCAACGCGATTTGTTCCGTCTGAGACGCGTCCACTTGTGGCCAGTGTTTACAAGCCAGCCAGCCACCGCGGTCCCATCCAAACATACAATCGGAACATTTCATATTATCACAGCGTTTTTAGTGATTGCACCTGCAAAATAAGTCACCATGGGCCCCAAGAAAGCTTCTAGTGCCAACCCTACAGCAAAAAGGGTGAGAATTACTATGGATATGAAGAAAGAGATCATTGCTAAGTATGAAAGTGGAGTGTGTGTCTCCGAGCTGGCCAGGTTGTACACAAAACCCCAATCAACCATCGCTACTATTGTGGCCAAGAAAACGGCAATCAAGGAAGCTGTTCTTGCCAAAGGTGCAACTATGTTTTCGAAACTGAGATCGCAAGTGATAGAAGATGTTGAGAGACTGTTACTGGTGTGGATAAACGAAAAACAGATAGCAGGAGATAGCATCTCTCAAACAATCATATGTGAAAAGGCTAGGAAGCTGCATGACGATTTAATTAGAAAAATGCCTGCAACTATGTGTATGTGTGCACAAATTTTTAAATAAATAAATAAATAAATAAATAAATAAATAAATGTGAGTGAATTTAAGGCCAGCAAAGGTTGGTTTGAGAGATTTAAGAATTGTAGTGGCATACATAGTGTGATAAGGCATGGTGAGGCTGCCAGTTTGGACCAAAAAGCAGCTGAAAAATATGTGCAGGAATTCAAGGAGTACATAGACAGTGAAGTCTTCTTCAGTTTGTGTGTATTAAAATTAATATTTCATGTGGTAAAATTTTTTTTTCAATACTTTTGGGTGTCTTGCACGGATTAATTTGATTTCCATTATTTCTTATGGGGAAAATTAACTCGACTAATGATAATTTTGATTAACGATGAGCTCTCAGGAACGGATTAATATTGTTGGTCGAGGGTCCACTGTATTTCATACGGTAAAAAAATTTCTTTTTCATACTTCGGGGTGTCAGAAACGGATTATTTTGATTTCCATTATTTCTCATGGGGAAAATTAATTCGGCTAACAATAATTTTGGCTTACGATGAGCTCTCAGGAACAGATTAATATCGTAAGGCGGGGGTCCACTGTAGTAGTATGTCACTGATGTTAGCTAGGCCTGTATACCATGTACATGTAGTTGTAGTAAATAAAGATATTATTATTATTATTATTATTATTTTTTCTCTCACTAGTTTGTTGGGCTATCTTATTGAAACTTGGGCAGTGTATGATGGAAAGATGCTTCTTAATGTACACCAAAAATAAAAAAAAAATCAGATGATAAATAAGGGAGCTCACTTCTCAGCCATTAGCTGCCTCTTTGCAGTATATTTTCGAATGGTTTTTATGGTTGTATTCTTGTTTTGGTCTCATTTGATAGAATGGAAGGTGTATTACAGAAATAGGTATGATTTTGATTGGTTTCACGATGAAAAGTACCTTGGAAATGAGCTCAAAGAAGGGGAAATGTTCGATTTTTGGCAATGTTCAATGAGCTTTCTTGTGTAAGTCAAGTTGGTTAATTTTATAAAGTGTATTCTAACCTAACCACTCTGTGATCTGGCAAACTCAATAATCTGGCAAACTACAGGTGCCAATGATGCTGGATTTGTGATGGCAGACCTGTACTAAACAAAAAGAATTAAAAAAGTACTGAAAACAAAAGGTCAACTGACCAGATAATATTTTGTAGTGTATTTTTAACCCTTTGACTGTTTCGATCATATATATACATCTTACAAGCCAGTGTTTTGGACGTATATATACTCAATAATTCTAGCGGCTTCAAATCAAGCAGGAGAAAGCAGGTAGGCCCACATGTGAGAGAATGGGTCTGTGTGGTCAGCGTGCACTGTATAAAAAAAATCCTGCAGCATGCAGTACATAGTGAGAAAAAAAAAACTCCGATCGTGGTTTTGGATTAAAACACCAACTTTGAGGTGTATTTTTGTGTAGTATTTATGGTTGTATTCTCGTTTTCTTGGTCTCAATTGACAGAAAGGAAAACATTTTACAAAAATTGAGATGATTTTGATTAGTGTCACAATGAAAATGACCTTGAAATTGAACTCAAAGTAGCGGAAATGTTCGATTTTTACTAATGTTCAGGAGTAAGCAAATCATACCACACGTCCAATACACGTCAATTGGGGAGTCTAATATTCTTTCACTAGTGCACTGATATTATTTATATCATTTTTACAATAATGCAGTAGTCTGCATAACAGTAAATCTTCCATGTTTTGTGTGAATAAAAAAATCAAAATAGAAAGCAAGAGTAATATAAGAGGGGCCTGGAGACTTGACTAATGGACAGAGGATATGTTATTTTGGTGCCAAGAATGTCTACATTGTTTATTCTGGACCCTATTTTGAAATTGGCATCTTTTTTAATCTGCGTGAAATTGGCTAAATTGCCAATTTCTGACCACTTTATTGGGTAGTTGAAATTGGTAAATGGGCAGTTTCTTGTACTCAATTGATAGAAAAAATGGAGTTCTAAAGAAATAGCTATGAGTTTAGTGGACTGGAACAATGGAATTGGCCGAAAATAGGGCTCAGAGTCGGCGAAATTGCCGATGCGTATATATCGCCGAGATCGCTAATTTTGCAGGAGCATAATTCCCTAAGTTTTCGATCAAATTTCATACTTTTGGTGTCATTGCCATTGGGAAAAGATTGTGTATCATTTAATAAGAATTTTTTTTTGTTTTTTCCAAAAATTTTGCAACATAGAATGGCAGTTTCAGATATGGGCTTGTGACAGTCAAAGGGTTAAATTTCCCCATTAAAACACATTAAGCTGTCTGTATCTTATTCATCGTTTTCCAAATCTTTTTTTTTTTTGGCAAACTTTTTTTTTGTCTTGTGCATGCTATATAGACTGGTTATAAATGACCATAATTTTTAAAGGGGTGGACCGGTAAGCCAGCGGAAGGCCTCGGTCAGATGACCAAAAGCTCCAAAGGCGGGTCATCATCTGACTAAGACCCGCGTCAGGAAACATTTGTCCTGTTTCCTGACGAACCTTACCTAACCTAACCTAACCTGCATGCTATATCTGTGTATTTCTTGTCTCATACCAGTTCTGTACTTAGTTCCTCTCTTATACCATCCTCTCTTGCCTGCTGTGTTCTTTGTCTCTGAATACACTCTTCAACCTACTACCAACAGATATCACAAGTATACCTGAAACAGTTTCAAATATTCCCTACCAGTGATGGCTATGGTTATATGGGGTCTATGGCTAGTCATAAGTAGTCTGTAAGCATTAGGAATAGTCTGCCCGAAATGCATCGCATGCTAGTTGCTTTCTTTCGTGCTTAATAATATTTTATTACACATGAACTACATTGTGTAAACTGCAGAAAGAAATAGTTTTTGTTTATGGGCCACTAGCACCAACAGCCTAGTTGACCAGGCAGTCAATGGGAAGCCTTCCCGTAGACCAGGCTGCAAGGGTAAAAGAGCCCTTGAAACCGGTCACATGTATGTAGGCACACATGTAAAGTAAGTCCTCAACTTACGAACACACTGGGGACCTTTTGTATTGTGTATAATATGATAATGATATTATACACAACAATGATATACAAAATACTGACACAATAATGATATACAGAATAATGATGTACACAGTACAGAAGCTTCCCAACATGTTTGTAAGTTGAAGACTTACTGTACTCTGCTTGGCTCCGTACCTGGACCACGTAGAGACAAGGACAGTACTTGGCACCACCCCCAATACTAATGCCGATCAAGTTGCTGTCATTCTTCTCCAGGGTGACACTCCCTGAGGTGATGGTCATTCCCCTGATAACCAACATGCAGTTAGTATAGATAAATGGTTCAGAGAACTGACAGGTTGATAAATTAGAGACATGTGCAACACCTGGGTATGTTTATAGTGGAAACATTTTGCAACACTGGCTTTTTCAGTCCAATACAAGGAGGGACTGATTACATCAAATTCCTTCTGATCTTCAACCATTGTTTATACAGGACTGATGAAGCCACCATGTGGCAAAACATTTCCACAATAAAGATACCCAAGTGTTGCACACGTGTCTAATTTGTCAAAATGTAGTTAGTACGCAAAGCAAGTAAGGTTAATCTGGATGTCAGACAGAGATAAAAGGTATAAAATGCTAACATGAAAAAATTTAACATAAATGTAGAATAATGTGATCCTTTATTGACTATGTTTTGCCCCCACAGACGGCTTGATCAAGTCATAAACAGAGCTACCTGAGTCAAGAGTATTTATTTTTTTTATTTATTTATTATTTATTAACAATTTGAGCATACATACAGAGGTACAAAAAAATACAGATAAGAGCAGCATGCCAAAGCCACTTATACTATGCATAGCATTACAGGCTGGCTTAAAATTAACTAAGCAATGATGAAATCAGTGATAATACATTATTGTAAACAGATAACTATAAAGCACAAATGAGTATTACAAAGACAGATCATATGGTTGCATGCATTGTTGTACATTCAGTCGTATGGAGTATTCTGTTAGGTAGTGTATTTAAAAAATAATAAAGTTAGATTGGGTTTTAGGTTTAACATTTATATGATATAATTGTGAGAAACATTTAAGATATACAATTTATAAGGTTCAGTTATTCAGTATTTATTTGGTTTTGGGTGAGTAAGTGATCTTTGAGAAGAGACTTGAATTTATAAACAGGTAGTGTTTCTTTTATATTTACAGGTAATGAATTCCAGATTTTAGGGCCTTTTATGTGCATTAAGTTTTTGCATAGTGTGAGATGGACACGAGGAACATCAAAGAGTGATCTGTGCCTTGTGTTATGGTCATGTGTTCTGTTGAGGTTGGCAAGGAGATGTTTGAGGGGAGGATTAATATCAGAGTTAAGTGTTCTATGTATGTAATAGGTGCAGTAATAAGTATGGATGTTTTGTATGGTGAGTAGGTTTAGTGTATTGAATATTGGTGGAGTGTGCTGCCTGTAGTGAGAATTTGTTATCATTCTAACTGCAGCCTTTTGTTGGGTAATTAGTGGTCTGAGATGGTTAATTGTTGTTGAGCCCCATGCACAAATTCCATAGGTGAGATAGGGGTAAATAAGAGAGTGATATAGGGCCAGGAGGGCTGACTGTGGAACATAGTACCGTATCTTCGATAGTATGCCTACAGTCTTGGAAATTTTCTTAGAAATTTGTTGTATATGTGTATGAAATTTGAGTCTATTATCAAGGTGGATTCCTAAGAATTTTCCCTGTTAGCTTTGTGATAGGTGATCCGTGTGGAGAGTCAGGTGGAGAATATTGGGTGGGTCATATTTGAGAGGGACCTGCACATGACTCTCCACACTACATATATACTCATGTACTCTTTACCCAGGTAGATCTGTTTGTGACTTAATAAAGCTCACTGTGTGGGAAAAACAGTCAATAAAGGATCACATTATACTGCATTTGTGCTTAATTTTTCCATCCTGGGTGACAGACAAATGAAGAAGCAGGCAATTCAATCATGGTTAAACTTAAATATTAACAATTGACACATAAGTGAGCACAGTACATGGACTCTCATATATACTGTAGGTTCTTATCTCCAATGTATAGAATTACATAGTACTGATGAGTAACATATATTACTGAAATGTACAATACTGTAAATGTACACAAAAACTATGCAGTACTGTACTATAAAAACTAATCTGTTATTCAGCCAACTACTTGCAGGGTTTAAGTAATGACAAAAATCTGCAATAACTAATCTACACAACAAACACTTTCATAATTTCATATACTTTCTATATGACTACCAACTATACTCCCTGTGCAGCTTATCAACCAATAAGTCATGCAGTGCATAATAATAATAATAATAATAATAATAATAATAATAATAATAATAATAATAATAATAATAATAATAATAATAATAATAATAATAATAAATGGCAAAAGGCAAAATAAAGACTTATAAAATACCGAAACAAGAAATGTAACATTGAAGGCAGAAGCAGGATGAATTAAAACAATGTTGTCTTGCTGAGAAAGAAAGTCGGAAGTTGAAATTTTTTAAAGGTGTGACGTGGTTCTGTGGGCTGTGGTTTGTACATCAGTTTACATGCAACCAGCAGTAACAGCCTGGTTGATCAGACCTTGATCCAACATGAGGCCTGGTCTCAGACCGGGCTGCGGGGGTACTGACCCCTGAAACCCTCTCCAGGTATACTTCAGGTATACAACAGTTAAAAAAATAAGACTAAATCTTCAAGTAACTGTTACAGGAACCAAATATCGTAACCATGTAGTTGACAGACCCTATAAACCTCATAGCAGTACTAGACAGTAATAATAATAATACTATTGCAGCACTACTAATTTTTAAAGTACCGGCTGTCTCCCACCGAGGCAGGGTGACCTAAAAACTAAATTTTTTTTATTTCATATGTACATTTTTAGTAACTGATACAGAAAGGATTACGAACCCCTTGATCCCAGCATTTTAGCCACCTCTTACGACATGCACGACTTAAAGACCAAGGATTCTTTTCCACTTCCTCATGGAGAGTACTATTATTATTACTACTGCCTCTCCTCACTTAGCGATGCACTCGTTTACCGACTACTTGGACTTACAATGGGCTCTCTGGCCAGTATGCATACCTAAATAATGTATATTAGAGCTGATTTTCTCAATTACATTTATTAAAATATACAGTACACTACTGTATAAACATTTAAAAATATACCAGAAATGTTATAAATGGTACAAATGTGACATTAAAACAATATCAAAGATGATTGACACAAACCCACTACCTTCCCCCAATGAAAAGCAGGGGTGTCACTAGCACGTTAAGAGACCATACAATAAGTGTCAGGGGCCCGAGACTGTTCAACTGCCTCCCAGCACACATAAGGGGGATTACCAACAGACCCCTGGCAGTCTTCAAGCTGGCACTGGACAAGCACCTAAAGTCAGTTCCTGATCAGCCGGGCTGTGGCTCGTACGTTGGTTTGCGTGCAGCCAGCAGCAACAGCCTGGTTGATCAGGCGCTGATCCACCAGGAGGCCTGGTCACAGACCGGGCCGCGGGGGCGTTGACCCCCGAAACTCTCTCCAGGTAAACTCCAGGTATTATAGTATGCTCCTCACTTAGCGACAAATTCACTTACTGATGTGGTCTTAGGAATGGAACTCCATCGTTAAGTGAGGAGAGGCTGTAGTACTACTAATAATAGCTGCAGTTTTCCAGCAACTGCATTACTTACCCTGAGAGGACAGAAGTGTAATGGAGAAAATTACCCTAGGAAGGTAGAGGTCTCGTGGAGAAGCTTACCCTGAGAGGGTAGCAGTGTCATGGAGAAGCTTACCCTGAGAGGGTAGCAGTGTGGAGAAGCTTATTCTGAGAGAGTAGCAGTATCATGGAGAAGCTTACCCTGAGAGGGTGGCAGTGTGGAGAAGCTTACCCTGAAAGGGTAGCAGTGTCATGGAGCTTACCCTGAGAGGGTAGCAGTGTGGAGAAGCTTACTCTGAGAGGGTAGCACTGTCATGGAGAAGCTTACCCTGAGAGGGTAGCAGTGTCATGGAGAAGCTTACCCTGAGAAAGCAGCAGTGTGGAGAAGCTACCCTGAAAGGGTAGCAGTATCATGGAGCTTACCCTGAGAAGGTAGCAGTGTGGAGAAGCTTACTCTGAGAGGGTAGCACTGTCATGGAGAAGCTTGCCCTGAGAAGGTAACAGTGTCGTGGAGAAGCTTACCCTGAGAGGGTAGCAGGATTGCAGAGAAGCTTACCCTGAGAGGGTAGCAGTGTCAAGTTTACCCTGAGAGGGTAGCAGTGTCAAGTTTACCCTGAGAGGGTAGCAGTGTCGTGAAGAAGCTTACCCTGAGAGGGTAGCAGCATCATGGAGAAGCTTACCCTGAGAGGGTAGCAGTGTCATGGAGAAGCTTAAGCACACACTTCAACTGCATTACAGCAAATCCCTTGTACTACTGATAGGTAATAAATTATACACCATCCTCCCCTCCCTCATTTAACACAGAGTATCTAAGAATATATTTAAGACTATATCCATAGAGTGCTATCACAAATGCACTGGTGTGTACCTGTGCTTAATTACTCTGACCGAAATGTTAGGTGTAATATAGACGTTGTAAAAAATATTAGGGAAATCCTCGATACAACAAACTTTTACAATGGGCAAAATCTGCTGGGTAAATTGCATGTTTAGCTCCTTTATTTTCAATCTTTACTGCAATATAACTATAAATTGTGTATACAGCAATGTACATTAGTGCTTTCATTTTTAATTTTGATTTAATGGACATTCAGACAATTCCGTCTCCCATTAGTCCATTATGTGCCTTCAATATTTTTATAAATATATTTGGTTTGAACCTTATGCAAGTCACTGCTCTTTGTTGAGCACTTCAGTCATCTCACACCAAGGTAGAGTGACTCAGCAAAGAAACCACTCACACTGGCACAGTCAATTACTGCTGATGTTACAGTTCAGTCCCTGCACTTTGAAGGAAGGGTGGGGATATTTGCAGTTTTCAACTGTAGTATCGGTGCACCTCTGGCAAGACAATTATGGAGTGAGTGATGGTGAAGGAGATTCTTCTTTTTCAGGTCACCCTGCCTCAGTGGGAGACAGCCAGTGTCTAAAAAAAAATGTAGTTCAGGGAGAACTAAACCTTTAAGGATCAGGGTTAGTCCACGGGAAGGATAAGTCCAATTCCTTGCACAAAGAGGACCTCACACAGGATTTATGTCTGGGGATCAATAACCAATATTCAAGACTTCAGTAACTACACAATTCA